ATAATCCTGTATCGCGATATGAAGTATTCTCTCGCCGATTAGCATATATACAACTTGCCAACAATATCCTTTGGGCCGCGACTCGCCAGACATGATCACCTCGCCTGTTCGGAGGATCCTCCCGGAGGAAAATAATATTTTTTACAAATTTATTTCATTTTGCTATTATCAATCATATGCTTCGGCCCACTTTGTTAAATTAACTTCAATTTTGGTTTTGGAAATATATCAATGATACAAAAACAGTAAAAAGATACAGACGATACAAGTTATATAAAAGAATGAGGTAGGCTAAACTTCGTTTTTTTTTATAAAAAATCTTAAAAGTACAATATCTTGAAAATGATTAGGTTTGGGATATGGTATTTCATAGTGAAATCTATTGGTAATAATTAGATCGACCTAAACAGTAACCCTGTATAATGTGTTATTTTACATATTATTTTAAATGTCTACAAAAAGCTACATGTGTCCAATATGTGTTTATTTTTACCAGTCATGTTTTCTTTTCTTTTATAATTGTACAGGGTGTACGGGACTGTAAAACTAATATTGAAATAGTGTATTGAGACCATCATTCTGAGTCGAAATTCATTGGCGTTTACCTGCCGTAAAATCCATCATTTTTTGTGGTTAAAAATGATATCACAATGAGTAAACGACAGAGCATTTTACCGTTCTTTTTTTTTTAATAAATACGGGATCTCCCACCCGGCCGCCGATTTGTGTTATTGATCGTAGACTGTTTGCACGGAATGCAAATGTAGATATATTAGTTTTGTACGATACCTACGGGGAATGGCCTTAACGTTTGACAGCGGATTGAATAAAACGTTAACTTTCGTGACACCTGCAATAACTGAACGTTCAACGTTGTTGAAACAAAACGTTTTCTAAACTTGCCATGCATAAAATAAAAACGACATAAAAAATGTTATGTTTACATCGATATTTGTTGATGAGCTAACTAGTGTATTTAGCAGTTAAAAACATTTATATTATTATTAATGTCGACTGTACAGATTATACTAAGTAATAAAATAATGTTTATTAAACCAATGAATTTAAGGAAGGGTATTAATAATTATGTAAAAAAAGTAATTTAACTGATTTGACAGTGCAACATTTTAATAGACGGATCAAGAAGATTATAAAGTAATGATTTTGATTTTTATGAATATATTATCTAGGATAACTTGGTGACAGAAATGACTGCACGGATGGCGTAGTGGTTTAAGCGGTCGCCACGCCGCTTTCTGCTACGCCGAGTATTGTGGGTTCAAACCCCACATGGGACGACACTTTGTGTGATCCACAGATTGTTGTTCTGAGTCTGGGTGTTCTTTGTGTCCGGTTCATGTATGTTCGTAAAGTACCCCGCGACACAGGATTTATTCACTTCGGGACTTCAGTAGACCTTATATGTAAACTGCAAACTAAAAAACTTTTGAACGCAAAGTACTAAAAATCTGGTAATTGAAACTGTCATAATGAGCCAAATAAATACAACAAAATAATCTCTACCATGAGATTCGCACGGCGGCGGTAAGTCTCATACACGCCTCCTTTAATTCTTCAATTTATCATATATTACAAATATACGAACGTCAGGTAATCTGTAAAAAACTTGAGTGCGGGTCTAACTAAAATCAACCAAAATTGTAATTAAATAAATAAAACTCGGACCAATAATAACAAACAAAGTAAATAATAGTCATCTTGTCATCCCACGCATTTTTGTTCTTAATGTAGTATTTATAATACTTAAGATTTATTTTTAAAACGTAATTCCCACTTTATAAAACATAATGTATATTTTTATTAGAATTTATTTTATTTTGGTTAGACGACATTGTGAGGGCGGTAGGAGAGCAATGGATCGGGCTGGCACAAAACCGCCAGGAGTGGCATGATAGAGAAGAGGCCTATACCCAACAGTAGGTGCAACAGGCTGCTTAAATAGATAGCTTTTAAGCTTAAAGATTAGTACGAGTACTTAGTAGGTTCGTTGAGTACAGTTTTTGTTATATTATTACATCTACTTAAGTTGAAAAAATGTTGAGTCATATTTCGAAAACATTTAAGTATATATTTTAACATAGTATTTAAATATTTATATTAATTTTAACATTATTAAAAAAACTCATAAACAAGCTTTTGTACTAGCCGAAAAAAGTATAAAATAATTTTCTCTACGTTTAAAAAGAAAAAATATTGTATCGTAAAAAAAAGTTTTTTTAAGTTTTTAAACTATAATTTATTTTTGATTGGTTAGTCATTAATGATGATGATTTTCTCATTAAAGACTAAAAAATTAGCAAATCAGTAATTCACATATACTTTACAGTACACGTCTTATTACTTGGCACAAGACATTTTTTTTTCCTGTGTGGAACTATCTACAGATACTAACCACGACCGAACCGACCAAAAACCGCACACCGTCTCCAGGTACCAGTAGTCGAGGAACCAGGTATATCCTAGAAGGGAAAGCCTTGGTACCCAGACGTTCCTCGGGCCATCTACAGCTTAAACATGACCCTCTTCTGTGTGGGAACATCGATATTCCCTTTCTGCCCCCGAAGGGCATGTGCGCCGTCATCCAGGGTGGATGACCTGCTTCTGCTAGGGTGACAGTTAACCTCAACTGTCACCCCAGGCCTGAGCCTCCGGCACCTGAGTCGTCTGCGCTACCTAGCCCGTTCCCGGGCCTGGCGGGCCGTGAGAGTTCTAACCCTCCCCTGGTCTGGCTTCGCCATGTCCTTCGCAAGCATAATTTGCTCAACGCAGTCTCGCTCCGTACTAAGGCAGCAATCATGTTACCGAGCTAGAGCATACCCACTCCGATGGTTCACGCCGCCACCCGCGCCGGGCATTCTGCCAGCGTGTGGAGCACCGGGTCCATAGTCCAGCCATCGCAGTGGTGGCACCCAGGCGTTGACTCCTTGCGGATCAGACACAGGTGATTTCTGAAGCATCCTTTCCCGGCGCTTAGCATCAGCCGTTATGAGGATATGAGAGGGTTCCATGATGCCTCCTGAACCAATCCTCCATAACGGATCTTACCGCCGTGATAAGGGCATGCATGGGGCACAAGACACTTCCATATTTTTATGGAAATGCCGATAATCCTGATCATGATAATCGGTCAAATTTATTAAATTGTTATATTGTCATCGGTCATTGACAAGTGTGCGAAGTATTGAGAGCGAGAGAGAGAGAGTATATATATGTAATACTAGTTATAGCTCGCGGTTCCGCCCGCTTGTATGTTGGTTTTCGCGGTGAAAGTAAAAAGTACCAATGTTACTCGCTGATAATGTGGTTTTCCATGAAATAGTGTTTAAAATCGGCTGTGTGGTTTAGGTGTGAAAGCGTAATAAACAAACAAACAAACTCACTTTCACATCTGTACTAATATTATAAAGCTGAAGAGTTTGTTTGTTTGATTGTTTGCACGCGCTAATTTCAGGAACTACTAGTCCGATTTGAAAAATTCTTTCAGTGTTAGATAGCCCATTTATCGAGGAAGGCTATGGGCTACATATCATCACGCTAAGACCAATAGGAGCGGAGCACCAATGAAGAATGTTTCAAAAACGGAGAAAATTTATTACTACTGAGAGACGCAGACGAAGCTGCGCGGGTCAGCTAGTTTATAATATAAGTATGGATGCAAGTGATTTGATGTGGTTGACAAAATCCAAAACAAGTACATCCACGGTACACGTACAACATTTTAATGGAGCTGAAGTACACAAAAGTGTTGTCACTGTTTGATCACACGGCCTTTGTACAGCATATTACTTACGAGATTAGAGTCCGAAATAATCACCCACTGGTGGGTGGTATCCGAGGGGAGTTCCGCACAAAAAAAAGGAGGGCTGTAATAGTTTACTTTACTGTTTATTCTCATTGCTTTCATTCTTGTGAAAAAAAACAAAAAGTTTTTGGTCATAAAGCGTCACATATCAAAGGTTAGGTGTTAGCTAATTTTGTAATACAAAATTAAAGTGAATAGAACCTTATTTGTTCCTAACCTATATGACGCTTTTTCCTATTTGTGTTAAAAGGCTAATGTCGCAATATTTTTTTGACTCTTTTACATATCTAACGAGCATTCTCTCCTGTCAAGATGTCTTCTATACAAAGTAATCGATTCTTCGTACTCCAATACACAAAAATAAATTAATTTTTGGAAGTCAAATCTGTATTTTATCTCTTTTCTGCCAAATCCCAACTTTCAGGACCACTTTGGCAATACGGCACCATAAAGTTCTTGGGTGTTATTTGTACAATGTTATAAATAAGTTATGCAATATTTATCCCCTCTGTGGGTTCCAATGTAAGAGAATAGTAAGTGAGTGGCGAATGAATGAGTCTTACGATGATACAGAGAACCTACTCCGATTTTCAACGCTGCAAAATCATACACCCACACACACACACACACACCCATATAAACACACACAAACCCACATAAACACACACACACACACACACACACACACACAACACACACACAAACACCCCAACCTATTTTGTGATTGTGAAATATAGTGTGGTGAAAAATTTCAATTTATAATGAACTAAAATTGTAACAAGAAATCGCAAGTATATAATTATACTTCTTTCGTATATTTTTATGCAAGAGCCCTGGTTACCCATACCACAAGTTTAATCTTACCTTGGGTACCAGAGTTCAATGAAATAGTCTGATGTTTATGATACCTACAAACATGTTTACCGTGAATCTAAAATATTATTTCAAATATATTATTATTATTATCTTTTTCCCTCTATCTGTTTATCTATAACTTGGCTTCGCATGATTTCGAAACAGCTGAATAGATTCAAATGAAACTTAGCACTCTTTGAGTTTATCTTGTAGGTCATTCATTCCCTAAAATAATTGTTGTGTCTACCGGCAGACCTAATAAAATCACGTCCTGGCTTTTCGTTACAGTGATTTAGCAATATTAAAATTTAAGTGACTCATCCTACTGAGATATAAACATCAGATTGAGATATAAACTAACCTGTCGATCTTTAAACATCAGCAGTATGACCATCAAGTTCAGGAAGAAGCCAAAGAACCCGATCAAGAACAGTACAAATGCCGAAGCCACGTATCCCCATCTCGGCATCAGAAGAGGAAATCCTTCCTCGTACGCCTTCACCACAGTATCATTGAAATGTTCCGGGAAGGACGTCATTGTTGTCCACAAACACAAACATACACACTTCACAAGTATTATACACGTTTCACTTCACTTGATCACACTCATTGTTTCTTTTTGTTATATTTGTTACACACCTGAAAAAGAAAAAAACAATATTAATAATACGCCTCAAAAAATTTGATATAAATTTGACTGTGTTTTCCCGTCGAGAGTAGTAAGAAAATGGCTGTGTCCAATTTTTGTTAATAGCACTTGAGCTCGTCGTTGTCTAATGTCATTTCAATTGAATAGTTTTATCTGAAATTGAAGATATTATACAAAAAGTCGGTCAAATGTAAACCATTAAAATATATATAATGTATCACAAATGAGGTTATTTAAAATTTCGCGGAATCAGAAAAACCGGTACTATATTTTGTCCCTTTAAGAAATTTGTAATTTCTCACAATTTAAGACGTACCTACAATAATATTATTTTTAAGTTTCAACTTTGAAGAGCTCCTTATAAAAATTATAATAACAATGATCTACTCCTTTAAATAAACCAACATTTTTTTGCAGAAAAATACAATTTACAAAAATTAGTCGTTTATGTTGCCAAAAGGCTTTGACACTCGACGTTTTTTAAACTGTCACTTTCAGTATTATAAAGAGAAAAATAAAATTTAATTTCTTGGATAACATTTTAATTAAAGGTGTGCCTTGAGCGCGCTCATTGACCGCACTCGTTTATTTACAACTTGACACATCTTGACACAACTCACACACGGCAGTCTGATCCCAACACCTAGAGCCTAGAGCCAAGAGCCTATACCATGGTAACCAGCCTGCTGTCAAAAACATACATCTATATTTCTTAATAAATAAGTATTATAGATAGTTTACACACAGACATAGAACAAATGATTATACTCATCTCACAATTATTTGTCCTGGGTGGGAATTGAATCCATTAATCAGGGCACTAATCGTTTATTAGGGTTAATCGTATTGAGGCCATGTACATTTCGAGTATTAGACATACTATTTCACGCCAGCGGAATATTACGGTTACGGTTTTGGGGTGAAATGCCACACCATGCAATTACATCTCACAGATTCACATGTCAATTCATTGAACCATCTTCTCGTCTATTATTAACGCTGGGGTTTTGCAAGCCGAAGGCGTTTGGTCCAACCCAATTATTTCATGTATTATCATAGTGGAGTAAGAGTATGTTAAACTTCATCATTAAAAATTTGTAAACTGCAAATTACATAATTACATATACGCACTTTAAACTTAGCGGTAGTAATATTTGAAAAAAACTTTTGTAATTTCTAACTCCCTTTTTGTAATATTGTCAAAAGAGTACAGTTAAGAGTAAATATATTTATTCCCGTTATCTTAGATATGATACAGCGATCTTTGCCAGATTTTTGAGAAGAAAGAGCCTGCCTACGGTCAGCGCGATCGCACATACAAATTTATTACAGCATCATATAATCTAACTCAAGTAAACATTAAACAAAGTGCCACAAAAACAGTTTTAATCATAGCTGTTATCATATAAATGTACCGCCTAATCGTTTTTTGACGACCTGGTAGAGAGTCATTACTTATAAGTACTATACAGTAATATGAGATAGTAATGACTAAATCTGCAAATTTACAGTTTTTTCCATATTCCTCTGACAAATACATCCAGTAACAAAATCCAGATATGTTTAGAGAAAATACACTGAACTGACCAAACTTGCATTGCACTATTGAATTTTATTGAGCGCTTGCAAGGAAAGATAAGGGTAATCGGATCTGAGGACCTTTATTCCGTTCTACTTTGAAACCATATTACGCTTTGGTAGAAGTTGTCATAGAAATGGTCGATTTAGTTTAGGTTGTGTAAACTAATACATTTACTAATCACAAAAAAACTGAAGAGTTTGTGTGTTTGGTGGCACGGGCTAATATCAAGAACTACTTGTTCGAATTAAAAAATATCCTTTAGTATTGGATAGCACAGTAATCGAGGATGGCTTTAGGCTATGTAACATCACGCTCTGACCAATAGGAGACGACCATCAATGTTTTTTTTTGCAAAAAACGGGAAAAATGGATTCCTTTTGAGAGACCCAGACCAAGTTGAGTGGGTCAGCTAGTTTAGAAAAATAATTTAGAAGTATAATGATTAAGAATACGGAACGTCACCACCCCTGTGGCCGATTAAGGGAGCAAACTACGCAGGTCAACAGCAATGCAAAAAGAAGGAAAACTTGACACAAACCCTAAACCACCCCGTCTTTCCAGCGTGGTACAGTAGGCCAAAACCTCCTTTCTAAGGAGAATTCTTACGTGAATTAACATAATACCTGCTAGTTGGCCGTTAATAGAATTTTATAATTCATTACTATATTATATTATTGTAAAACAAAGTTCCACGCCTCTCTCTATGTCTGCCTGTCTGAATGCAACTATGGTATCAACTCAGTAAATTTACTGAAATAAAAAACGATTGTTAAAGATCTTTATTTACGTGCGGCGCGTAAACCAACATGGAAATATGAATTAAAAGAAAACAACAAAACGATATAACTCAGATGTTGTTGACTGAACCAAAAATATACCATAATAGTCTATCAAACATTTATTTGAAGAAACGTTTATTACAAGAATTTTAATTTCAACCAACAACTTTTGAACAGTTTAGAAATATTAGTTGTTCAAAAAATTCACTGAAGTGAAACTGATTACGTTTTTTCCATAGAACAAGAATGAAGTTAATTAAATTTTATATCCAATATTGGCTTTTTCCATTTATCACGACGCCGTAAAGGATAAAAATGAGTTTGGGTACATGATATTACAGTCTGAGAATGTTTCAATGACGATGTAGGCGTAGCTGTATCTCGCTTCTCAAGTATTTAGTCTCAATAACCCATTTTTTTTATTAAGAAGCTTAAAAAAAGAGATTAAAGTAGCAATGATAACATTAAAACCATTTGGAAAATTATTTACAATAAAAATGGAAAAACCAATACTGCGATAATGCATTTTATCTGAATATAAACAATAAATTCATCACATCAAATGCTGAGGTTTGAGAATTTTTAACCAATATTCCTGTATCAACCACTAAAGCTTTAAACGAGGAGTTTAAAGATTTATGGCCCACCAGTATTACTTAATGTACCATGAGTTTAAAGAAAGTGGTTGAAAACCCCTGTGATGATTAAGCATATCGAGGTAAACCTTGTGGATACAACGATATTTTTAGGAATAACAATAGATTCTAAGCAACAGCCCACATATCGATAAATTATCTAGTACACTCAGCTCAGCAGCGTACGCAGTTAGAGAAATTCGAGATTTGGCTGATATTGATATAGCGCGACTTCTTTACTTCAGTTATTTCCATAGCATAATGTCCTACAGTATTCTACTGTGGGGGAATACTGCCGACATTCAAACTATTTTTGTGCTGCAAAAGAGAGCGATTCAAGCAATTTATAATTTAGGCAATCGTTGTTCATTGAGGCAAAGATTTAAAGAAATAAACACAATGACCACTGTCATTGTGTTTATTTCTTGCAAGGCAATATATGTATGAAAATGTAATATATGTTTATAAAAACAAAGATAGCTTCTTGAAAAGAAGTGATGTACATGCTTCTAATACCAGAAACAGAAATAAACTTGTTGTACCTGCCTCTAGGCTCCAAAAGATAAATAAGTCATTTCGAGGTTAATGTGTCCGATTCTATAATAAAATCCCAAAAATTATACAAGATTTTAGTATAAATAAAATAAAATAAAAAATGGATTACATAGAAGACTATAATGCTTGGGATTAATTTAGCACAGGCTATTACGTAGTAAAAATGTGATGTGGACTAGTGTGTCCTTTATTTAATTTTCTATTTTTATTTTTAGTCTCTCCTTGTCTCGTAGTCAGTCAGTTTGTGACAAAGACAGCGTAACCTAGTTGGAACTTCAAGCACTAATAACACGGGATATATTTAATTTAAATTATTTAAATCAGAAACTACCTAATGTCATGTCGTGCTAGTTCACGTGCAATTTTTGACGATGTTAGAAAAATCGCGCTCTGTACTCACTAGCCGTTAGACTATTTTAGTAGACAATTGTACCGACAACTTAACTATGCTATAAGTTTGAAGTTAGGTGCGGTTTTTCCTTTAGCGAATTATTTATGGCTAGGAGCGGCTAGGCACGCCGAGTCGAGTCGTATAAATTTGCTTTATCTGCCTTGAATATCCGTTTTTAATAGAAAGGTATGAAAAGTATCATCAAAGATTAATTAGGTAGTATAAAATATTGGTTTTGTAAGGCATCATGTTACAACAACTTGGTAGCTCCCAATGCATATTAGTCAAATACATAACTTATCCAATTATTCATTTTTTTTTTGACAGTCAATAAATAGTGTTACTAAACAAACATATTACTGATTCAATTAAAAATATCATTAGTTTATACTAGCTTACCCGCGTGTATAAACCAATGTCAAACCCGTGTCGATTCCGGGAGAACCTGAATTAACATGGTCCGGGTCCTCCCAGAATAGGACAACTGGGCGCGGCCGTCGGGTGGTTTTGTGTGGAAGTGGAATCACCACATACTAATGGCTCCTGAGTCCTCGAGGAGCAAGAGATTCAAAGGGATTTCCACCCCGTCAACAAAAAAAAAGAGAAAAAATATTCATCTTTATATCTAACCGCGCGTTTTAAAGTTAAGTTCTTAAACCACTGTCATACAGAAAATAAACAATTGAATAGAGAATAACCAACCCTAAAATTTGTGGTATATTGTAACGTAACACTTTTGTGTCATGCGATACCTGTGATCAATAGTTTTTACTCTTCGGCAAAAATGGAGTGCGAGCTAAACGTTTAAAATATCCTATGAATTTTTGTCCTGGACTAGAAAGTATTTAAATTTTATAATAATAAGGACAGAGTCAAGGTGACAATTTGTTGTAAGGACTGTCACCTTTACTGGCGATCAGTTTTAATTTTCTCAGAAAATTGCAAGG